GTCTACAAGTGCGCCTTTTAGACCTCCTTAAAGACATCTTTAAAACGTCTTTTAAACGTCTTTGTGCTTACTGGGTAAGTTTGCTAAAGCAGTTTACAATAAATTAATTACGCGCGACCTATTATAAAGGAATTCTTTTAATATTCTATAATTAAATTTAAATACAAAAATGGATGACTACGAATCCATTACTTTTAATTTTCATGATAAGTACTTAAAATCAAATTTTAATTCAGATCCAGATGTCAACTTTTTTAATGATGTGAACACATGTTGTTCTTATTTTTATCCCAACGAGTTAAAAGAATTTCTTAATAAAAATGGCACTGAAAATCAAAAAATCAGAATCCTTCACATTAATATTAGAAGTCTAAATACAAATTTTGAAAAGTTTTGCGATTTTTTAGATGAAACTGAAAATATTTTTAACATAATTTGCTTAACAGAAACGTGGATTTCTTCAAATGATTTTAAAAAAAATACTATTTTCCACCTTCCAGGTTTTGAAACAATTTTATTAGAAAGACAAACAAATAAACGCGGTGGAGGAGTTCTGATTTACGTTAAGGAACACATTGCACATAACATTAGGAATGATACGTGCCTTTCTGACGGTGATAAAGAAATCGTAACTATTGAAATTTTAAAAAATAAAAAAAATAGTATTCTATTAAGCTGCTGTTATAGACCACCTAATGGTGCGTCTGAAAATCTTAGTTTCTTTTTACAGCAAAATATCATTCACAAAGGTAGCAAAGATAACAAAATTACTTTTATAATTGGAGATTTCAACATGAACTGTTTAATTTATAATAAAGATAAAAAAATAAAAAGTTTTTATGATGAAATACTTATGGCAGGAGCTCTTCCTTTAATTAATCGCCCTACTAGAATAACCAAAACTTCAACTACGTTGATTGATAATATTTTTACAACAGATATTTATAATAGAAAATTAAAAAAAGGAATTATAAAAACCGACATATCCGATCATTTCCCCATTTTTCTAACAATCCATACTGTATCCTCTAATAACCCCGAAAGACAAAATATAATAAAAAAACGTGTCTTCAATGAGAGCAATATAAAATCCTTCCAATATCAATTATCACTTCTGCATTGGAAACATATTAACTTTAATGAAGACGCAAATACAATATATAATAAATTCTTTGATACGTTCCTCTCAATATACGATGCAAACTTTCCACTTTGTGAAAAAATAACAAAAATAAAAACCTTAAACAGTCCATGGATTACCAAAGGACTTAGAAAATCCTCTAAAATAAAACAGAAACTATATATAAAATATCTAAAAACAAAATCAAATGAAAACCAACAAAAATATAAAAATTACCAACATTTATTTGAAAAAATTCGTAAAAAATTAAAAAAAAATTATTATTCAAATTTAATTAGTAAATTTAAAAACGACTCAAAAAATACTTGGAGAACGTTGAAAGAAATAACAGGAAAACAAAAAACAAATTCAAACTCTCTTCCTAAAGTAATTAAAATAAATAAAACAAATATATATGAACCAAACGAAATTGCAAACGAGTTTAATAAATATTTCATTGACATAGGAACCAAATTGGCAAACAAGATCCCTATTACAGAAAAAATTTTTAGTGATTTCCTAGAGCCTATAAATAATTCGCTTTTTATAGATAATTTACATTCTGACTTATCTTTTGATGAGTTTGAGAGAGCTTACAAATCTCTCAAAAGAAACAAAGCTACGGGTGCGGACGAAATAAATGGCAACATAGTCATAGATTGCTTTGAAAACTTAAAGTGTATTCTTTATAAAATCTTTAGGGCATCTATACAGCAAGGTGTATTCCCCGACCAATCAAAAATAGCTAAAGTAACTCCTATATACAAAAACGGAAAAAAATCAAATATTAGTAATTATCGCCCTATCTCAGTTCTTTCAACTTTCTCAAAAATTTTAGAAAGAATTATATACAATAGAACATACAATTAATCTAAATAAACTTCTATATAAAAATCAATTTGGTTTTAAAAAAAAAAGTTCAACTGAACAAGCCATTCCACAGTTCATTCGTGAAATCTCCGATTCATTTGGTAGATCACAATATACATTAGGTATTTTCATTGACCTATCGAAAGCATTCGACACGGTCGATCACAAAATTCTACTTAAAAAACTCAAATTTTACGGAATTAATGGCAAATTAATAAAATGGTATCAAAGTTACTTGGAAAATAGAAAACAATTTTTTTTCTATGGAGATTATTTTAAAAATGAAAAATTAATTGACATTAAATGTGGTGTTCCACAGGGCTCTATTCTAGGCCCACTTTTGTTTTTAGTTTATATAAATGATTTATAAAAAAGGAGTCGGTCACAAGATTTTTAGGCATTTACATTGATGAAAATATTACATGGAAGTATCATATCGACTATATTTCTACTAAATTGGCTAAAAGTATTGGAATTCTATATAAGGTCAGATACTATCTAAGTAAACAAAATTCAATTCAACTCTACTACTCGTTTATTCATAGCTATATAAATTATGCAAATATTGTTTGGGGAAGTACCTCTAAAAGTAAGTTACGAAATCTTTACCATCGTCAGAAACACGCAATTCGTTTAATATGTTTCGAAAATAGTTTTACTTATAAAGCTATAAACAAATATGCTTTACGAAATAATAATTTATTAATTGAATCCTTTTGTCAAACAAAGTTTAATCAATTTTGCATAAACTATAGAGCACCGTATTTATGGAACAAAATTGTTGTTCTTAATTTTGATTTGTCAATTTCGTTTTCCGTTTTTAAAACTAAATTAAAAAACTATATTCTTTCTACTGGCAATATATATAAATATTTTTGAAATTTTTTGCCTAAAGTTTGTAAAAGGCTTAAATAAACAAAAAAACTATTGGCACAGTTATTACCAAAACTTTTTTTTTTTTCCATTTCATTTTTTTCATAAAGATTTTTCATCGTAGAATATGTATTATATATAAAATCTATATTGTCATTTTATACATAATGACTTGGATATAAAATGACAATATAGATTGTCTACATAATGTATATTCAACTGTGAAAAATTTTTATGTCAATGAAAATATACATTGTATACATTAAGACAAAAAGTGTTATACAACTTTTATTGTTATGTTATGTTATACAAGACAATGAAACTGTCATTGTATACTCTATGACAATAAAAGATATATGGCCAGATAATAAGAAAAGGAATTCAATAAGAATAACATCTAGTCAAATTCTAAATTTAAAATTTATAATTTTTAATTATACATTACTAACCCTAATTCTAAGTTTAAAATGTATAATTAATTAATATATATATATATATATATATATATATATATATATATATATATATATATATATATATATATATATATATATATATATATATATATATATATATATATATATATATATATATATATATATTAATTACTTAATCTCTATAAATGTAAAATCATGCACATAGGTAAAAAAAACAACTTTTATGTCTACTCAATGCCAGCTAATGACAATAACAGTGTCGAACTTGCATCGACTTTATTCGAACGTGATTTAGGCATCATGATTACGCCAGACTTAAAATGGCATAACAATTCAACTTTTGCAACCAATAAAGCTAACCGTGTATTAGGCATGTTGTATCGTACTTTCAGTCACATGACTCCGCAACTACTTAAAATTCTATATACAACCTTTGTACGACCTCATCTGGAATTTGCGGTAGCAGCCAATAATCCATCATCAAGAATAAATATTGACAAAATCGAGAAAGTACAAAGTACCTACCAAGCTACCCGTACAAACTTAAAGTACAAACTTATACTTCATATATAAGTATAAGTTATTAATATATAAGTATAAGTTATTAAACTTATACTTCATATATAAGTATAAGTATAAGTGAAGTATAAGTTTGTGCTTTAACTTATAACTCTAAAAAAACGCAACCTATCAGAAGTTAATATTAACTTCTGATAGGCTGCGTTTTTTTAGAGTTATAACTTTTGGATCTCCGATTTGAAAGGATTTATTTTAACTTATATTGGGAAGTGATCACTAGTATCAGTTTTAAGTGATCACTAATATCAGTTTTTAAAATACCTGTCTTAAATGACGTTTCTATATAACTGTTAATTAGGCACTTTAGTCACGTGACTTTTCCGTGTGACAAGTTTAGAATATAAACATTAGCAAATTTCCGGCAACTTTTTCGGGAATTGTTTTCATAGCACCTAAATTCAAACCCAATTGCCTGTTTATTTCACTGGCAAAAGATAAAAAAAATTTTAAATCTGTGGAGATAATTCTTCTAAGTTTCTTAAAAAAGGAGCTAGACGATTTTCCAAGTCGTTTTCTCTATAGTTTATTTTATTTATACTTTTTGACAAGTACATATACTGTTACACTCTCGCGGAAAGTGTGGAGTTTTCCTCCACATCAGTGTGTAGGCTTCACTCCTACACAAGTGTGGACATATTTCACACATTTGTGGACTTTTCTTTCATCCACATTAGTGTGCAGTAAATTTTATTTTATAAGAGAGCGCCTATTAAAATGCTTGTGGGTATGGTTAACATAATTTTGTTTTTACGCATTATTTTGAATAATTTGCATTTTATTGAAGGAACAGCAGTTAATTACTGCAAGTTGCTTATAAGTTTTCTTAATTTTTTTACGCGTTATTGTGGCTTTTACGCATTATTTTGGATAATTTTCATTTCATTAAAAGAACGCCAGTGGATTCTGGAAGTTTCTTTAAATATATTGAAGATTTTTATTATTAAAAATTATTCACTCTATTATAATTAGTATACTCTTTACTATAGTTTAAATAGTAAATGATAAAATTTAATTGTTTTTTTAATTAGGAAATGTAAAAATGATCTTAAATTTTATGGGTTAACATTTTATAGTAATATCTAATTACTGTCAAGTAAACTGAAGAAATTACTACATGTAGATGAAAAAGGCAACAAATATAATTAGTAAAATAAAAGAATATTGGAAATAAATTATAATAGTTATCTCTAACTAAAAAATCCCTTAATAAATAATATTAATGAACAAATAAAAGACATCTCACAATTTAAAAAACAAAACAAATAAAATTAAACACATCTGGGATTGAAAGGGATTTAAATATTTGGAAGAAAAGTTATGTTTGTAAATAAGTCAGCAACGGTTGCACTTTTCACACTACATTTAAGTCCCATGACTTTCTCCAAAAAGCCATAAAAAAATCTTAATTCGGTCGGATATTCGACGGCGAAAACATAAAACGTCATAAATAAAAACTCTAATGCCTCCATAAAACAGCTGCAACAAGGCAGTGTTATAACTGTATTGTCCACCTTTATATAATATCCATTAGATACCCGCATCAACATCGGTTGTTTAACTCCGCGATCTTCTAGTGTCTTTAGTGCACAATCAATTGTGTCATCCTGCATAATGTATAAACATTTTTTTACATCCTTTTTACTATCAGACAGAATAGCAACAATAATAATAAAATAATGATAAAAATATAAAGATTCAAATAATTAAAAAAAATTTAAACAAACTTCTACAAATACATTAAATCAATAATTTCAAAAAAAAAAATAAAAAAATACCTTAAAGTCAAAGAAAAGATTTGTCATAACCACATTCGGTAGCAAACGAGCCCTTTTAATTGATTTTTGAGGTGGGGTAGGGAGAAGCCAAACAAGACATTCAACCGCAAGTTCACTTTTCTTGTCTAACAATATAAAATAAAAAAAAATTTGAAGATTAAACAGTTTTAATATAAAACTTGTACAAATAAAGTGAGCAAAAAAAGTTACAAATAGTAAAAACTAAGCTATTTTAGTTATTTTAATTAATTAACAATAAACTACAATTTTTAATCAGACAGTTAATTGAAAAGTTCATAATTCACCTTCATCTAACTCATTTGTTAAGAAAACCATTAGAGTATTTAATGAGGGCTTCAATTTGGCATATTCCATAATTTTAATTTTATATTTCTGCCACTCAATGTGCAATCGTGTTTCTATAAAATTGCTACTTTGGAATTCTTTAAGAATCTAATAAGAATATATATATATATATATATATATATATATATATATATATATATATATATATATATATATATATATATATATATATATATATATATACTTAATTTAATTATTATCAAACATAAAATATCAACCATATATTGAATATCAATATATATATTGTATTAAATGTATATATACTGATTCTGGCATGTCAAGTAGTCGTGGGTACTGGTTTACAATTTCTGTGATTGATAGGAACGATGTGTTGATCCATGATCGCCGATGATTTCTTGTAATATCCATTAATTTAATTAGCTCTTCTTTGTTTTGGGCATTAGGTCGTTGTTCGCGTAGCAATCGAACAGCACTTTCAACATCATCGCTAGTTGTTACACCTAATCTACTAGTAGCAAGACTACTGATAAAAGATAAAGAATAATAAAAATTTATTGAAAGTTAAAGCAAAGGGCTAACACTTATTATAATCGCTTATTATAATCTTCATCATTATCATCATCATTTATTAAATAAAAGGATGTTTTAGATCTAATATTTACCTATCTGATGGTGAATGTTTCCATAGTGTAGTTATATCTTTACAATCAGATCGCCGGCTTCGAACAAAGTATTCTAACTTACCACTAAATGATTTTCTATCAAAGAAGTATCCCTAAAGATAACAAAAAATAATAACAAACAGAGTTTAAAATAGTAGTTAATTTATAAATATATTACTCAGGTAGCCACTCGCTGTTCCATCATGTAAGATAGGAAAACAGTCAATAATTGACTTTGATAAGTCCTGCTTCTCAGTAGCATTCGGTCTATCTTTTCTGAAATATAGAAATATAAAAATTATTTTAACTAATTAAAATCTTATCAGATTTTTCATTTTATTTATACTTACTGAGCACAATTGTTCATCAGGTAATGCCCACAAACTTTTATTAGAAATAACATTTCTGCCTTTTCAATCAGCTCTCCTGACTTTAACTTTTGTGTCGATCGCTGACCACAAATAGGCCCATGCTGCTGCTTCTGCTCTGATATAATTTTATCAATTCGCAGATTCTGATAAAATTAATGGAAATATGCAATTAATATAAATTCGTATTATTTCATTTTAGCTTTTAAATACTATACAAAATATACACTTTACCGTTATTACTTTTATTAATATTATAATTATTTTTTATTGTGACATGTCTCTATTATTTACTCCATGTATGCCATTTCAGCAATCATTTGTTAATTGTTTGAAAACTAACCTTGAAACTGATTACACTAGTAGTGGTGCAGCTATTTATTCTGGGTGAAGCATTAACTGACTCACCAATACTCAACAAACATTGTGGAGTAACATATTCATTAACAACCTGGACATTACCAACCGCTTGAGCCCTAATCCATTCCTGCAGTAACCTTCTTTCTGCCATCCTAAATCCTAATTTAACAAGGTCCTCTTCTGTGGCTAATACAAATGAACTTAGTGTAAAACCAGATTCTAAAATAAAAAAATATAATAAATAATTAATTAAGTTCAGTATGTGTGTATTGATGTGTAAAGAATATTTTTAATTTGAAAGACATAAATTTGAGTAAATCGTTATTTTAGGTCTGTGTATTTTAAGAGAAAGTTATTTGGGATACATAAAAATACATACTTAAAGAGAAACTCTTACCAAGTAAAGCATGTTGAATTTCGTCAGGGAGAACAGATAACTCTAATACAGTGGCAAGTGTGTTGATTAGACTCATAATTTAAAAATATATAAACTAAACATAATCAAATCAACTAAATCAACATATTTCCCCTTTAACAATAACTGTATATATACAATCACTAGGGACATATACAAACATTTATAATTTGATGTGTAAAAACCTATATTAAACAAAAATAATAATAATATTTTGAAAAAAAATTTTTTTAACAACTCCAAAATTTTGTAGAAACCTTTTTTCTAAATTTTGGGGAAATGTTTTTTCTACAAAATTTTTATATTTGAAAAGAAAACATTGTAGATTAAACTTTTAAAATTATATTATTAAAAACTAATAATATAATTAGCAAAACACCTTGCTATTGATCTATATAGCAACTAAAGTTTATAAAATTTACACAAGATATAAAAAATTAAAAAATATGATAGGGCAATCGAACAAAGTTCTTCTTTTCAGTAGTCGCAAGCAAACTATGACAATAAAGTGGATGATAATCAACAAAATTAGAAAGCTGGAAAATCTAATACTCTGGTTGAGAAATAAATATTACTTCATAAGAATGAAGGTGATAAGTAAAATTGCTTGTTTTCGCAATTTCTAAGACAAAATGCCACTTCTCTCCTTTGAACACATTAATTGGATTGTTATTTGTGCTTGAAATGAAGCATACAATTTTTCCAAAGTTTGGCAAGCCAGTCTCCATATCTATATTAATTGCAATGAAATGTCCTTGTTTGTATTCAACGCTTCCTGCATGCAATGTTTTTGCAATAGCAATTTCATCACATGACTTAAAACACAATATATTTTGCATAGCGTTATAAAAAGGAAGCGAATAAGTAGATTCAATATTATATTTTACCACTGTGACAATTTTACGAATGTGTTTGTTAGAGAGCTGTGACTCTAAAGCCTGTTGCTGATGTCTATGTGCTAGAGTGTGACAAATATTGGTAAAGTTGCATACGATATGTGCACACCTTTTAAAAAATGAATTTTTTAGTTCGTATGGCATACAACTCATGCCAACAAGTGGACCAGACTTGATTATAATATTGGGCAAATGCACAAGAAAATGATGCTTTGGACGTAGCCTTACTTCATTGCTGCAGTATAACTTGCTAAACATAGATAAATGATCACTAATAACATGCTTCATATAAACAACCATTTCATGTGTAAAACATGGTGCAAAAATTAAATCAATTAAATGAGACAAGTGAAGTAGAAATTTCCAGTTTTTATTCTTTAGAGGGACCATTTTTCCTACAGCCACTGGTAAATACTTGAGCAGAGCCCACCATTGTACTGCTTTCATAGAAGGTGTAAGTACATGCCCTGGTTCTTGTATTTTGAAAATTTCCGCGGGTTTGTGAGTTTTTTCAATAGTTATTTTTCCCCATAATAAAGAAATAGCTTTATTTATATCTGATAGAGTTATGCACTTATCTAATATGCACAAACCATGAAAAATACACCCTAACTCTACAAGCACAACACCTTCTAAGAGAGTGTGCATAATATCTAAACACCAATTATCTGTCACATGATAACCTTTTATTTTATTGAGTGGGCATTCAGTCTTTACACCTCTGTAGTGATTTTTCAATTTATTAGAAATGGTCTTATTACTTGCCCTACTTGCTACTAAATTAATCAGATCCGTTTTATAGCTATGCACAGTACGCATCTCAAACAGATCATCCTCAAATTTAATTTGAACATCATTTTTTGTTGCATAGCAAATTGTACAAAAATGACTGCCAGAGAAAGACTCAATAAATCCAAGCAAGCCATTGAGAGCCAAGTTATCACAAGTAACTTGGCAAAGACTTGCATAAATTGTACAAGCACCTAAAACTGGAAATACTCCTTGTAATCCAATAGTGCTTAACTCCTGTATCTCTTTAACAAATTTGCTTAAAATTGGCCCATGACCATAAACTACAATATCATGAGTGTAACCAATGGCTAACAAGTGCACATTGCCAAAACAAGAGTTAAATGCGTGAGGAAGATTTTATATAGTGTAATAAAAAACACCAATGTTATGAACAGAGCCTTGACTTCTCAACGGATTGGTTACACCTAAACTATCATAAAACAATTGGATCATTAGGGAAATTTTAGATTCATCACTAAAGAGGTAATATTCTTTGAAACAACTTCCATCTGAAAAACTGGTTAATACACCAGGTCTACACTTTTTCTCCAGAAATGCTTTTACATAAGCCTCATTCTGTAACAAATTAAATAAAGTTTTTTTGATAGAAGCATACTGGAACTCATCATACACAAATTTACTATGCCCACAATGAGACTCTAACCGTGGCATATAACAGATACTTTCCGGTTGAACTATAAGAGGATGCCCTGCAAAATAAGAGTCAATGCGATAATGTGTTGATAAAAAATCAAGAGGATTATTGCATAGTTCTAATTTGGGTTGCATCTCTTGAAAAATTTGGTCAATAACTGCACAATCAACACCAGCTAATAATAAACTTTTATGAAATTCTTCTTTCAAATAACATTTTAGTGATCCAGCCATATTATTATATGACTGGACAATTGTAGGTATGATACCATAAGGTATACTGCTATTGGCACAAAGTTGTGTTACAAGTGATGCTCCTTCAGCTTTAACATCCTGCAAAAAATCTAAACTATTTACAGACGAAACCACATCTAGATTAGGAGATGAACCTTGTAAGTGGTTAATACAAGGGGCATTATTGTCACATAAAACCAAATTTTATGGAGTTTCTTCTATAAATCCAGCTAATTTACTTACTCTCTCTGTGCTTATTCGGTGATAAGTATTTAAATGTCTAATAAAATTAAACAAAACTGAAAACGAACTTTTGCACTTATCCTGATGACAATATATTGGTATAGATAATTGTCGGTTGTCTTTATGTCGTTGCAAATGAACCCTTAATTCAGAAATACTATTATAACCTTTGTTGCAAAGATAACATAAAAACATTTTTAAAATATGTGAATTTTCAAAAATAATTATAACTTTTGTAACTCTTATAAATGCTCGTAATGGCGGCTAAAATTATATCACGTGTTTTTAGCCTCCACACTAATGTGCAATCTTTTAATTTTTATAGAATTTTCACTCAACTCACTTTTTCTGAAATAATAACTCCACAAAATTGTGCAAATTACGGCCTCTACACTTAGTGTGGAATTTTAGATCCACACTTTCCGCGAGAGTGTATAAATTGCTTTTTTTGGGTTCTAACTCAACAAAAAAGATTATTTAGCTTATTAAATTAAAATATTTTATACTTGTTTTTATAATAATTTGTTTTTTATATCTGGACTTAACAATTTAAAAAAATCACTTTGTTATTTTTCCGTGACGCCATTATGGTACTCCGTTCAACCTACATAGCTAGTTATTTAGGATAAACTGACTTATATCTGCGTCTTTATTCTGGGCGATTTTCAAAAAGAAATTTAATGCAGGGTTGTATTGATTGCTTTAAGGTAAAAATACAATATTTAGACTTTATAATTTATAAATATGCAGTTTAAAGTACTTATTGACTCGTTAACTGTTTTGAGAACATTTTTTAAAAATTTGATAATTTATATTCTGTAAACTCGATGTTTGGTATTTTCAAGTTTTCCTGATTACATTCAAACATTTTGCTTTCGTAAATCTTTTAAATTGCTACTAATATTATGATATAATACTGTTAAAGCTGTGTAAGCTTTTTTGCCTATTTTTTATAACGTTTAATTGAACGTTATACAAAATGTTTATATATATATATATATATATATATATATATATATATATATATATATATATATATATATATATATATATATATATATATATATATATATATATATACAGAGAGAGAAAGAGAATAACCAACTAAAATTACTTGATACATATATACAAGGCCTGCGCGATAGGGGTGTGTGGGGGGTTTAAAAATCATTGATGGGTGGGGGACACCCCCATCAATGATTTTTAGTCGGCAAACTGGACCCTTAGTCGGCAAATTGGACCTAGTTCGTCGGCAAATGTGGACCCTTTCGATATAGGTTAGACAGTCGGCAAATGTCGTCATGACAGTCGGCAAATTTTGGAAAACGAGGACCTTTTTGTTTTAGTCGGCAAAAGTTGTAATGGCACCCCCCCCCCCCACGTGACACCACTCGCGCCGGCCCTGCATGTATATGATATAATCATAGAAACATAGACATTTATTTTTAGACAGTCATAACCATTTTATAATTAAGTTTACTTTAGAATGAAAAAATAAATAAAACTAAAAAAACAGAAAATTTAACGAAAATTGAAAAACAGAGAAGCAAACACAGAGAACACCGTTTATGGAATGGTAAATCGATGATATCAGCAATTAAAGCTATTAAAAATGGAGATTCACAGCGAGCAGCATGTAAAGTTTTTGACATTCTAAGATGTTTATTACAAGTTTGACTTTCTTGAGTAATGGAAATGGGAGCCAAACCTGAACATCCAACTATTTTAGATAAACATTTAGATAAAAATTAATTGATTTTGCTTATAATCGTGAAAGAATGGAACTCCTACAGAAAAATGTGGCGTGGGATTTGCAAAAGGCACAAAGATTCAACTTGACGTCAACCAGAAGGTACAGCAGCTATTAGACATCAGTGTATGAATGTTTTTAAAGTGTCGAAATATTATTCCATTCTTAAAAATGTGTTAACGGAAAACAACCTACTTCAGAAAAGGAAAAACATTTGGAATATGGATGAGACTGTGATACAGTTTGACTATCGTCCTGGAAAAATAGTTGCTAAAAAAAGAGTTGATTATTTACAATATCGTCAATTAGGTAACCGGGAAACAATCAGAGAAATAACTTCTGCCAATGCAATGGATAACACTTTTCTTCCACATTTCATATTTAAAAGAAAAACTACTAATTCTCTTTCGAGTTTTTAATTCAAAAATGCCCCAGGAGAAAGTACAAGGAGTGTTTCAGACAGTGGTTGGACAAAGCAAGACATTTTATTTCTATATTTACAAAGACATTTCGTTCCGGAAAATTTAGATTTTAAAAAATGTATATGAATTTGTTTACTCTTTCAATATAAAATAGCTCTCGTTTTTTAACTAAAGTTTATTTTTTAAGTTTTTACAGAAATTTCAAACTCGGCCCAAACGTCTCGATTTGGGGAATTAGATCTGAAATTTTTACACAAACGTTTGATATTTATAAATGTAAATGAATTTGTTCACTCTTACAGTTTGAATAATCTCTTTTTCTTAACTAAAGTTAATTTTTACGGTTTTAACAGAGCTTTTTGTACTCTTGGCCAAATTCGCCCCAAAATGGGAAAACGGGCTATGTGTATTTTTACATATTTTCCTTATATTTATAAATAAAAATGAATTTGTACATTCTGACAGTTTAAAAAAGCTCTTTTTTTAACTAAAAATTTTTTTAATTGTTTGTACAGAACTTTAATTTTTCTTTAATTTAAAAAACATACCCTAAGGTTTTTACATATTTTCTTGATATTTATAAATGTAAATGAATTTGTTCACTCTTACAGTTTGAATAATCTCTTTTTCTTAACTAAAGTTAATTTTTACGGTTTTAACAGAGCTTTTTGTACTCTTGGCCAAATTTTCCCCAAAATGGGGAAACGAGCCCTGTGTATTTTTACACTTTTACCTAATATTTATAAATAAAAATGAATTTGTTTATTCTGACAGTTTGAAAAAGCTCTTTTTTTAACTAAAAGTAATTTTTATTGTTTGTACAGAACTTTGATTGTTCTTGGCCCAATTGCCCTGAATGGGGGAAATTAGCCCTAAAATTTTTACGTATTTTCTTGATTATTTTCTATATTCTTAAATGTAAATGAATTTGTTTACTCTGACAGTTTGAAAAAACTCTATTTCTTTATTTAGAGTTAATTTTTACGTTTTTAACAAAGCTTTTATAGCTTTTGATCCGATTATCCCAAATGGGCCAAACGACCAGTGGAGTCCTTACCTTAGGGCCCCGAATATGAGAATAACAATTTTTAGAATTTAATGCTTTGATTCTTTAGTAAAAAAGAAAACAATAAAAATAATTTAGCATAAGTACTTCAATAAAACTCCTCCTCATTTATAGCATTTTAAAAATAATTTTTTTTTTTATCAAAATTTGGTGCCATAAATCATAAGGAAAACTCAACAAATCTTGTCGCAAAATAGGCGTTATTGAGCCCAACATAAATTGTCATAACTTGGGAACCAGTTATCCAAATTTTTAACACGAACTCATTCTGAAAACGTCTTTATTATCCGCATACTTTAGTATTAATTATAACAAGAGATAATAATAATAGTGAAATCGAGTGAAGTGCCTATGTTAATAAGGATTTTATTGATGGCTGTTGCCGAACATTTAGTTACCCTAGTTGGTTTATTCATAACTGGTAAGATGTTATATTTAAAAATCATGTCAAAAAATTTTTTTTGGCATATTTTTTATAATATAAAATCTTAATAAATAAATAAAAATTAAATAATATTTCCATGTTTTTAGAAGAATATGTTTAGACCAACAGCGTTTCTTGCTATTTCCTAGCAATAAATCTTTTATTTATTACCTTAGATAAATTTCGTAAATAGTTTAATTTAAAAATAAGAAATTCCGTTAACTATATAAAATAAACCAATGGAACTGTGGTAAAACTGCTACAAGATAAATATAATGTCTTGTTAGAAATTTACGGAATGTATATATTTACACAACAGAAAAAAAAAAGAAAAAATTTATTTTTAAAGAATATAAATCAGCAAATAGTTCAGTCACAAATAGACATCAAAATATGTTTACAGAAAGCTATTATGCCAAAACTTTTTTTTGACTTTTTTTTAGTTTTTAAATAATTTAATATATAATTAAGTTGAAAATATTTAAATATAATGCACAAGTTTGATTTTTTATCATATGCAATTTAAAAATTTATCAAAAACGTGTTTTTAAACCCTAAATTCCCCCTCATTTAAAAATTTTAATTAAGAGTTACTAACTTTTTTTTTTTAATTAGGAATTACTAACCTAATTCCGTAAGAAAATATTTAAAAAGTTAAAAAATTGGAAAAATTTTAACATAAATTTAAAAAGCTGAAATTTTTTTTAAAAAATGGTAGTAAAATCCAATTTCCACTTCGTGCGTTACTGGAAGTTTTGTAATTAATGAATTGATACGTATTTTGTTAATTTAAATTTTAAATTGTGTTTGTCTTATTTACACCAGGTTTTTGTAAGATATTGTTTTGTAGTTAAAGTGGATTTTTTTTATTGCAATAATAAAGAGACGTTTTTTAAGCAAGAAATAATTACTATGAAATAAAAGCGGTGAAAGAATGAGAAACATACGAGGTAGAGTATGACTTTAAACCAACAATAATGAATAAAGATTTCATAAAAAAGTGTTATATAAACTAGACATTAAGTTCTTTTACGAAACAAATCACGAAAAAAGTCTAAACGTTATTTAGACTTGGATTTTTTTCTAGAATTATTTTTTTACTCTGCAAAATTAGACTTTTGCAGTGTGTTTCGGATCGTTGTCTTGTTTCAGCAAGACAACGATCCGAAACACACTGCAAAAGTGGTCAAGCAGTGGTTTCAAGACAAACACCTGTGGGTTGTGGATTGGCCGCCTCAAACTCCGGATCTTAACCCTATCGAGAACCTGTGAAAGATCGTCAACCGCAGAATTAATCGTGAACGTGTTCGTAATAAGGATCAACTGTTTGGACAAATCAAAAAGGCCTGGGCAGCGATTCCACAAAGTTTCATTGATCACCTGATCGAATATATGCAAGGCTGTGATCGACAATAAAGGATTCGCCACGAAATATTGATAGCATTATACAGCTTGGTCAACATTTTGTGGAGTTGCAAATGTTTTGTCCAGAAGGAAATCAACTTCTTTTAATACTTTTGATTAATTTATTAATTTTCGTGTACAAATAATGAACTTTGTGTTGAATAAAACTTGAAGAACGTTGTCTCTAAACAGTTACATAGTTATTTCTTTAAATTGAAAAAATGCAGCACTTTTATATAAAGGAACTAAATTAACATTATTTGGTTGCACTTGTTTTGTCCTATACTGTAGATGAATAACAAGTTACAATTTTAAATAGAAGGATAAAAAATTAAAAAAGATAAAAGCCTTAATGTCAGCAAGGTTAATGGTACTAGAACCAATTCATTCAGAGCGATGAGAATTAAATTCACCAATTTGATCAGAAATAAAATTAAAAAGATCAATTGGAAGAAGAGTCAAAAAAATAAATAAAATAAACTAAATGGCGTTAAACGAAGAGTTATTGAATTGATATTGTAAGTGTATGTCAGGGACAAGAATAGCAGTTTTTCCATAATATTAAATACCATAATTTTTTGTAATGGATATTTTGGTGCACGCAAAATATTATTTAATACTTAGTGTATTTCATTTTAATATATATTTGTTTTTTATTGGTAAATTTGAGTTCTAAACTCAAAACCGCTGTTTCTACATTTAACTTGCTTATACACAACAGTCGCATACTTTTTGTCGTTTTTTCACCATTATGAGTCAGTGCGATATAATACGGGTGGTATAAAACAAGTTAAACGGTATAATTTACTATAATAACATTTATACATTTTTTTTTACAGCACAAAATAAAACTTTTAGTGTTTTAAGGGTAACACAGACAATACAACAAAATTATTGCGTCAAGGCTAACACAAACAGTTCAACAAATTCAAGTTTAAGGTTTAAATGTATAAAAAATATTTTAATTAAAATAATTCACCTTTTTCGCTCACAAAATTTTAAAAAATTAAAAAAAAAAAAAATCCTTTTTATTGCAGTGAAAAAATTTGTTATCATGATACTCATCGGATTATTTTTATATTAAACCATTACGTAAATTTTAGTTTCAAGTCGTGGGAGCTAATATACATCATACTGATAAGTGCTAAATAGACTTTTGAACACGTTTAATCAGTTTAAACAAAGAAAAACTATGAAAAATTATTTATCTCCCTACAACTATATACAACAACATAAAAAAGTTAAGTAGAGCCCCTCCCCACCCAGCCAATATATGAAAAAAAAAAAGTTATTCTTAAGTATAAAATCCAATTTAATGTCAATGCAAATATTAATTATTAGAAAAAAAAAACCGTTTTGAGTTTTTAAGTTATTAGAAAAAATAATAACAATGAAATTAAAAAAAAAAAAAAAGGAAAAAAAGGCTGTAGAAATATTTTTCATTTAAAATGTTTATAAAAGTATCTGAAAAAATTATTTCGGGGCAACACCTAACTTGGAGAGAACCTTCAATCCTTTCTCTTCGTACTCTTTTCGAGTCATCCAAAACTCTTCTTTATTTTTCATTATATCAGCCAAAACGGCGCCACCTAAATATACCATGTGTTTTCTGCGAGGTGGGTCTTCAATACGGATTTTAAATTTCTAAATTACATAGCTCAATTTCAAATATATGTATCAAATAAATATCAAAATCAAAAACAAAGAAATTTTGCATTTATTTTTACCGATAATCTTCCAGCGTCCCCTTTTAACACTCTCTCTAAGTATAATTGTTTGATTTCGCGTTCAAGCCTACTTGGTAATCCAGGATACATAGTTGAACCTCCTGACAACACAATGTGCTTATAGAATTCAGGTCTTGTATCTATATCAGCCGCTTGAATGGTGTTAAACAAGAGTTCTGCTACTCCAACGCCCTCCACATTGATAAGATGTGGTTGAAATAGAGCTTCTGGTGCCTCAAATCGTTCTCCACTCATACGAACTACTCGACCATCGGGCAACTAAATAAACAGAAGGAATCAAAGTTATACCAAAAGAAAGATAAGAACATAATAAAAAAATAATAAAAAAATCAAAATATATACCATATAATATACAATACACTATATACAAAATACCATAGTAAGATGTAATACCATAGTAACATCTAGTTAATCCCAATTAAACTATATTGTCAGTAAATTTTAACGGTACAAAAAAATGATTTTATTTTTTGATTATGTATTTTATGTTAGACAGTTTTTATAAGCTATGTATCTTACGAATATATTACGGGGCTTAGTGATACAGGGTTTCTCACCTCATTTCGACATTGTATCATTCAATTTTGACATTGTATCGCTACATTTCGGCACTGTTGCATTAAATTTAGATATTGCATCACTACATTTCGACACTGTTGCTTTCAATTTCGACATTGCTGCATCACATTTCGAATTTAAAAAAGCTATATTTTGAATAAAAATTTTCATATTTATGATGAAAATATTTGTTAAATAATAATGGTTATATTTAATCGGAGCAATAAAATAAATAATGCGGCTATTTTTTTAATTTTAAAATTTTTAAAGTGGATACTGAAATCATGTGATTTCAAGAATATTTTTTTTGGATATACCTAAAATATATATGTAAAATAAATTATGTGGATATTATTTCAAGTGACCATAATAATTGTTTTTAATTGCCATATTCATTATTTTTATTGACCGGATTAATTATTTTTAATTGCCAAAAAAAAGTATCCACATTTTGGTAAATATCCTAAAAATAATATTGTCATCAAACTATAAATTAATGTCAAAATATTTTGTCAAGAAAACAAAAATATTTTTATCATCCAAAATAAAAGTTTAAATATTATTTTCAATATTTAAAAACAGATATGAAATGAAAACCGTTAAAGGGTAATTGAGTCTTATTTAAATGGAAATTCACCATCAAAAATTGCGAACTACAAAGAACAACAAAAGAGTAATTAAAACTATCTGCATTGATAGTTTTAATTATACCTTAAAATGTGTTCACAATATTTCAGAAAAAAGAAATTCTGAAGACGTTATTGATGAACTTATGCAAAAAATTCATGAACATTTTGTCTTATATGAATGAAAATAAAATATTCTTTATTGATGAAGTAGGATTTATTTTTTTAATGCGAAGATGACGTTCTTTAGCTGGAAAGAGGGCCACGCAAACAGTGACCAATATACGGTCAAGAAATATTTCCATTGTTGAGCAATGAACTAGAGCATTTAATACAGTAAGCTTTTTAATCTGTACAGTTTATCAGAAGTTGTTTATCTAGAATATGAAATAAAGAATGAAGAGGAACTAATTTAAATATACAAAACGGTGCATTGAATATTACTAGCACAAACTGTAATAATTTTTTTGGGCAGGTGCTTAGGTATATGATTCCGTGTTCAAGAAGAGAACCAATTATTGAGGAATAAACTTACTTTTGTGTTTTTTATTTTTATTAAGCAAGTATTCGGTAATGTGGTAATATTTTGTTTAAACTTTAGTATGTATACAAACTAAAAAATTATATTATGTAAGTGCAGGGTGGCCACTCAAATTTGTAAATGAAATTCCATGACTTTTCCATGGTTTTTCCATGACTTTTTGTAAATTTCCAGGATAGGAAACTAAAGTGATTTCAGTGATAGGGAACTAAGTGATTTCAGTGATAGGTAAAACATAGCATGCTGAGCACAAAGTGCTTTATCTCTAAATTTTCTATGCTGCAGATAAAGAAAAAATTATCTTTTTAATATTTTGAAAGAAAATATCTATATTATTTCTAAAATTATGTTTAAAACGTTACAAAGGTAAATTATAAACATAATCTTTTTATTAGATCAATTTATAAACAAATATATAAAAGCTATATTGCACATGACCATAACTTACTCTAAACATTTTAGATTTTTGAATAAAAAATAACTATTAACTATATTTTTTTTTTTTGCAAAAATTATTGATGTAAATCTTTTATTTTAATAGTTAAAGTGATACAGTTAAAGGTTTTAAAATATAAATAAAGTTAAAGGTATAAAAATATATGCAAAAAAGTCAAATTTTTGCTTAAATGATAAAACATTTAACTTCTTCATTTAAAATAACAACATGCAATTAAATTTTTTCTTTCTGTTTCTCATATCATTAATTTCTTTATTAATAAGCTTACTTTTTTTTGGTTTTCTAATAGAAACATTTTTTCTTTTATTTTCATCCAATTATTACACATTTCGAGAATGAGCTAACTGGCAACAATTTTGTTAATTCATTAGTGATTATGAAATTGTAAACATCTTCCTTTGTTGCGTTTAAATGGCTATAAACAGTACACTGTCTAAATGAAGGGTTTTTTGCATGCTCTTTGTTGATACTACAACCATGCTCAATAGTAAGTATAAGATAAAGTGACAACTAAGATGCAGACTATCCTAAGGTTTGTTCACGTTCAAATAAGGCATTAAAACTTGTCAAGACGCATTTAAAAGCAATTTAATTAGCTGAACTCTTTATTTACTGTTACAACAGATATTGTAAAGGCTTCAAATTAATAATTAGCAGAATCAGCTGTTTGGGCGAATATAAACTTGAACTATTGGGTGGATATCAACTTGAATCTATACAACTTATCAACCAACTGGCCAAAATGAGCAAACTCTTTTATGTTAACCATATTAATTGAGAATAATAGACATGCATTTTTCACTACCATATTTTTCAAAGGACTTTTTTCTTGAAGTTTTTCAACTATCTTGACTAGAATAGTAATGCAATCTTCTTTGAATTTGTTCTTAACATCAATATTGTTTTTTTGGAATGCTGTGCAATATCCCATAAAAATTTTAACTTTGCTTGAGGAGGTTGCCCTTATAATGGCTTACCAGTACATCATATGATTTATATTTGGGCTTTTGACTTTTGATAAAGCTTCTCCAGTATAAGAGAACTTAACATTTTTAATTAAATAACAGTTTTTTACGGTTTAGTATCTATCATATTGTTAACCGGTTTTATGCATATAATGCCAATATATTATTTTTATATTGATGGTACCACTTGGACGATTATAATCCATAGTTTTTAAGTTCAACTTTTCCTTAACCAGAGTTCAATTAGAGATTTATATCAGTTTTTTAAGTCCCCTTAGTTTAACTTCTTAACTGAAGCAGATTGTACTGGATTAAATATTACCAGTAGCAGTGTGACCCACAGTGTATGGCTTTATACAAAATATTACCAGTAGCAGTGTGACACACAGTGTATGGCTTTATACAAAATATTACCAGTAGCAGGGTGACACACAGTGTATGGCTTTATACAAAATATTACCAGTAGCAGTGTGACACACAGTGTATGGCTTTATACAAAATATTACCAGTAGCAGGGTGACACACAGTGTATGGCTTTATACAAAATATTACCAGTAGCAGGGTGACCCACAGTGTATGGCTTTATACAAGATAGGTGCACAAAGTCAGTTCAAGAAATTGACTAATTGATATTATTTTTACAATTACAGTCCTGTATTGGTATTGACTTGCAGTGTTATTTATAAAAAACATTTCAGACCAATTAGTAATTAACAAAAAGTCGTAAAAATGTAATTTCATTTTTTTTAAAAACTTAGCTACAAATTTACAGCCTTTGTAATATTAAAATTTTTTTTAATAATCATTAAACTAAATTTTTAAAAAAGAATCATTTTATTGCAGTAATGGGTTTTACTTTAGAGGGTAAGTACTTGATTAATAAATTTATTTATTAATCAAGTACTTACCCTCTAAAAAATATATATATTTTGATTAATAAATTTATTTATTAATCAAAATATATATTTTTAAATATATTAAAAAAATATATTTTTAATATATTTTAATCAAAAGAGAAGCAACATGTTTTAGAGTATGGTTTGAAAAACTGCGTTAAAATTATCAAATCTTTTTTTGTTTTTAATTTTTTAACTTTTACAACTTTTTATATCCACATTTATCCTAATTTCTTAACATTATATAGCTAAAGTCCTACGGTGTTCAACGATGTTAAATTTTTCACCACATCAATCCACATTTTTATGAAATTTTCTGATCATGTGCGAAAAAACAAAATCATTGACTTTATTATCAATATTTCATCAAAAAATAAATAAAATCATAAGGCTTTATTTGTGGTAGCAGGCAGTTAAGTCGTGATGAAACACAAATTTATTTCATTGACTTTAAATGTACAAGTTATTCTTATAAACAGATGCAAAAGTGGTCTTTAAAGGCAGGACATATAGTATTTCCATCTTACTATAGTCTATGCAATTCAAAAAAGTCGTCTATTAGATGAATTTCCATCTTACTATAGTCTATGCAATTCAAAAATGTTGTCTATTAGATGAACATATTTCTATTACAGAAACATGTGCCAAAATTAAGCCATACTTAATAAAACTACTAAACCCCTAATTAAAGCCCAATGTGAAGTTCCAATGTGAAATTCTTGAAAATAATAACTTCCATTACATTCCCATTTGCTAATTAATGTTAATATGCTATTAACATTAATTAGCAAATGGGAATGTAATGGAAGCTCTGTTTATAAGTGTCACATCACTTACAAACAGAGATTTACAAACTCTGATGCTACTGATGAGTTTCTGTTTGTATTTTCATTAGTACTGTTGAAAAGTTGCGTATTTTGCTAAATAATACTTTGTCTGTGACAGAAAAATTATTATTTAGCAAAATACGCAACTTTTATCAACACTTTCTTTGCCAACCAATTAAGTTTACTTTTTCAAAAGAAACAATTCTCAACTTATTCAATATCTATAAGACTCAGCAAATCTTGAAAAGATTTTTTCAAAAAGAGTATTATGGTTTTGGTCTGTGCTACTGCACACGTGGATTCGCTTTTTTGAGTGCATGTTACTCATTAGCTATCATTTAGATGTAGAAAAGTGTCAAACTAGAAGCAAACAAAATAAATCTAGTATCCTAAAACGTTCAGAAGATATCAAACAAAAACTTAAAAACCATATCGACTTTACTGTAGACAAGCTAAAACCTTAATTAGGGAATACAAATAATGGGAAAAGAAGACCGCAATACAGATTTTTGTTGATTTCATGAGCATCATACAAGAAAAAACTCACATATTTCTACAAATATAGGTTTACTCGATATGCCTTTGATAACAGCAGATAATGTCATCAACTTATACAAAGAAATGTCAAGTGAGAAAAAGGTTTTTAAAAAGGTCTTCGACTAGATATACTAATTTTTCTTTGCAAATATCTTGAAATTATCAATTGCAGAAAAAACAAAGATCATTTTAAAAAATTCCATGAGTTTTTAATGACTTTTATTAAAAATTTAGAAATTCCATGACTTCTTCCATGACCTAATGAAATTTCTTGACATTTCCATGATTTCCATGACCAGTGGCCACCCTGAAGTGGATTTAAAAAGAATTTAACTGTTTTAGTTCTATATTAATTAAATTATTCTTAGCGCTTTGGAAATTGAATACAAAACAGTCAAAATCAAATGCAACAGTGTCGAAATTGAATAAAACATTAAAATATTGTCGAAATGCACTGATGCAAAGTTAAAATTGAATGATACGTTGTTGAAATAAGGTGGGAAACCCTATACGACAACTATAGTCTTTTTTTTGCCTCGGTCATGTAGATTGTATAGTACTTGTGTACTTTGTTATTGTAAATATTCTTTGACAATGAATATATATATATATATATATATATATATATATATATATATATATATATATATATATATATGTATATATATAAATATAAATATATAAATATATATATATATATATATACATATATATATATATATATATATATATATATATATATATATATATATATATATATATATATATATATATATATATATATATATATATATATACATATATATATATATATATATATATATATATATACACATACATATATTTTATTAAGTGACCTAGCTAAAAATGAGACTTTTTAGAAATCTGACCCTGGCAAAATTATAACATTTAGCAGGGGTTAATAGCCGGGGGCTAAAAAAAAAATTATAATTCTTTATATATTATAATTTTATACTTACATTTACTTTTAATTAAACTCTGGCATATATTTATGCTAGTATTTAATAAATAGGGACAGATACAGTAAAAGGTTGCAACTCATTGAATAAGAAGCCAAGCAAGAATGAGTTTTGGTTTATTGTAATAGAGATTTTTTTCGTTTTTGCATTAACCATAATTATAGAAGCAGCATAAAAGAGGATTTAAAGCCTGATGATGTCATCATCATCAGCAGCAGATGATGATGATAATGATGACAATAATGATAATAATGATGATGACAATTATGATGTTGATGATCATGATCATGATGATGATCATGTTGATCATAATGATGTTTATAAACACATATATACAAAATCAAACATAAATTTTGAAGAAAAAAAATGTACTTTAGGATGTATAAATGTTTATGCAGCCCCGATCACAAACCCAGCCCCAGCTATATTTTATTAAACCCGGCTCCAGTTAAATATCAACCCTGGTCATTTACTAATATATACTACTATATGTATATGTGTATGTTTATGTATATGTATATGTGTATATATATATATATATATATATATATATATATATATATATATATATATATATATATATATATATCAACTTGAACTTACGCTTTGTTGTTTTCAATACTCAAAATTAGTATTGCGTTACACAAAGATTGGTTAAACCCCCTGAATGAAAATTTATAAATTTGAGATGAATGATTATTTAATATTAATTTAATTAAAAAAATTAAACTAAAATTTAAACTCAAATTTTCTATTGGCGAAAAAAAATGTTTATATTTTTCTTCTATTTTTACACCAATATAAAGTGTTTTCTATAGAAGCAAAACATGATGAAAGATTATGCTTATATTGACTATAGAGAAACATGTAAAAAATATTTGTCATAAGATATTAAACTTATTTCTTTTAAAATTATTTATTCAATTTATTTTAAAATATATGCCGATTGTACATGAAGAGAAATGTAGAGAATATCTGTCATACAATATATAACTTATGTTGTTTACAATTTAATTACTTTTTTTTTTAAATATCTATTTAATATGTAAAAACATCTACCGTATATTGTTCTACTAAAAATGTAGTTTCCAAAGCCAACTTTTGTTCCTGCATAATATCATAGCTAAAAACAAAAGATTTTTTCCATTATATTTAAAGATATACTTAAATTTTTAATACAATAAATTTCTAATATAAGTAAAAGGAAAAGATTACAAAATAATAAATTTTTTAAATATAAGCAAAAGAAAAAGATAACAACAATAAATTCTTTACCCAACATAACAAAGCTTTTCCTTCATCATGCGCACTGTTTCAAAATCAGCAGTGTGATTAAAAGCATACCCCCTGAGCAATAATAACTAAACCAACAAAATAAAACAGTTACTAGAAAAATAAAGTGAACCAATATTTTTAAATTCAAACAATGTTCCAAAAAACATGCGTTTTGGGAATTGAACAATTCAGGAGCCTATTTGCAAAACATGCTTTTTCAAAAGTCACAAAAATAAAAATTTTGAGTTAATTCTATATTCACATTCTATATACTGAAATCTACTATCTATTTAAACATTAGACCAATTAAATAACTTTTTGGTCCTAAAAATGGACAAAGAAAATATCAATTTCTGTTGATGTGTAACTAGTAGGAGTAGTAGTACTTTAGTAGTTTAGTTTTTGGTTTGCTTTCTCAAAATCAGTTTACTCCTCAATTGTGCTATAATATACTTAACTATAAATAGTTGTACTATGCAACCTTAATATACATATACAACTATGCAACCTTAATATACAACCTTATAATATACATAACTATAAATAGTTGTAACATGCAACCTTAGTCTTGTAAATATATAGTATATATCTGAAATAGGGAGTATGAGATGAAAAACAGTGATGTTCTGTAAAAATAAGGTTACTAACATAAAAAATAAACATACAATTTCAAATTAAGAAAACACAAAAATTTAAACAAACCTTAATAAGATATTTAGTAATGTCACGGCCTGCAATATCTAATCTACGAGTCAAGTGAGGTAGAGCAAAGCCTTCATATACAGGACATATGTGTGTGACCCCATCACCAGAGTCAATAACAACACCAGTAAGAAGTCCTAAATTAAACAAAAAAGAAAAACAAAATTTAACAATACCTAAATATAATTAAGTTGTTGATATGAAAATTTTTTGTATGAAAAAGTTTTCATGCTATTTTATTTTTTTTAGAATTAAACAATTATACTATAGCCAGAAATTAAAAAAATAATAATAATAAAAAATATATATATATATTTCTATCATTTATTGTATATTATATATAATAATTATCTGTTTAAATTTCTAAATTTAAATAAGGTATCAAAATTTCAAAAGTCTACAAATTTATAAGTTATTTAAAGTTTTAGATTTATTATTAGTTTACTACTGGTTAAGAATAGCCTAACTAATCTTTATTGTAATTTACCAGTGGTCTAAAAGTCTAACATAATCTTTAATCTTATTTATCAATGGTCTAACAGGCTAACATAATCTTTAATCTTACTTATCAGTGGTTGACTCACATTTTTAGGACTAAAAACTTGCATGAGATTATAATATCAATCCAAAAATTTCACCTTGAGCATATAAAGTTAAAACTGCTTGAATAGCTATATAAACACCATCAAATCCATATTTTTCAAACATAATCTAAAAAAAGAAATTGCAAAAAATATGGAAAAATAAGTATATATTTACACTAAAAATTAAAGATTTTAAAAATTAAAATTTATACTTTCATAACAACTACTACCCATAACAAATAATTTGTTAATCTAACTTAACAATAGCGTTAAATTGACCTTAACAATAAACATTAATTAATTTTTCAAGACAAATTTTTTTAATGTTTCTAAAAATATTAGGACAATTTTTTTTTAATATTGTCTTGATATTTTTATTTTTGAAACAAGAGCATGTTCATTGTTATGATCATCGGTAAGCAATTCTTGTAAATTTAAAAAAAACAACAACTTGTAAATTGACAATTTATAAGTACTCCGTGATATAATTCATTTGAAAAAGTCAAGATAAGTTTTTTATTAATAAAAATCCTAAGAACTTTATGAATATATTTTTTGTAATGAGTATATTATTTGACCCTTTCTTTCCAGATTTATGAAACTAAGAAAATGACATTTAATATTTTATTATAAATTATAAATGACATCAAAAAACAATTGTGAATCGGCGCGTTTATTTTTAAATTGCACATTTTGCCATCTAGTAGGAAGTAGCAAAACTTAAGCATTACTTAAAATTAAAAAAAAAAAAAGATAAAACAGGGTTTGATTTTTGAATTTTAAGTTTGTTGCAAATGGCAACATTTGGAAAGAAAGGGTTAAAATAAGACTAGGTAACTTTAAAAAAAGATTTCTTTCTTGTGATTTTAAATGGAATAAAGTTTTTTTGATATACATTTAGTGAGATTTTGATAACCTTAAGCCATTTATTGTCATTCCTTAATTCAAAATTCCTGTCAAAATAAAGTTGCTTGATGTCATTATTTGACCTGAAAAAATTTGTTTTGTCACCAATTATTACCACATAAATTAAGCACAAGAGTGGACCAATAATTCACACTTGCGGAACTGCAAACATAACAGTTATGTTCAGAGTTCCGATTTTTTAGTTCTCTACCTTCTCAATAATAACATATTGTTTTTTTTTAGTGAGGTAGCTTTTTATACAATCATAGGTTTTATGCATCACTTGACAATTCTTAATTTTTTTTCTAAACAAATAAGGTGATCAACCTTATCAAATGTTTTTGATGAGTCAATAAAAAACCCAACAGTAAAGTTATTTTTTTTAAAAAACCTTTGATAATTTGGTCTATTATTTCAATTATTATGCATTTAGTTGAATAGTAAAAAAAAAAAACTTTTAATAAAATTATTATAGATCTAATATAAAATTACTTATCCATTTAGATATTCAATCAAGACATTTAAATATATCTAAAGCAAGTGCATAATATTATGATAAGAAATGTCTTTAGAGTCTGATGGTAACCAAATATGATAACATTGAATATGCCCAGATGTTTGTACAGTGATCTTATAGGTATTACAGAGCTTTGAACAAAGAACTTTAGGGTGCTCTATATTTTTTTATTATGGTTAATTGAACATGAGTTACTAATTCTTATTTTTAAGGTAATATTAAAAAAAAATTCAAACCACTTGTAAACTGATCCAATTATATCACTTGTTAACACATTGCATTGCATTGTTGTTACTTAAGGGCCTGCCCTATACTACTACAGGTTAGTGTAACAAAATGATTTATTTTTTCAATTTCATCTGTATTTTAGTGTTGAAAAAAAATTAATTTAAATTTAACTTTTTATTATTCCTTGCAAAGCTGCTGCAAATGTACCCACAAGCAATATGTTAACAGATACTTAATCTGTAAACATATTGCTTGTGGGTACAGTTTTTACTGATGACACTTGTTACATTAGTAAAGAAACTTGTTTATCAAACAGTTTGATATATAATTGGTAAGCTTAAATAAAAGTATTTGCAGTCATGTGAGAATCAAGACAACTTAAAACTACTATTTTTAAGTAACTATCTTTACTAGACTACTAAAAGAAAACATATATACATATATATAGACTACTAAAATAAAACAAATATATTTTAACTCAAGCCTTTTTGATAATTTTGGTCCAAAAAAGACAGTTTCTGCATGATTACTTTCTAACAGTTTACTAACTAACAGTTTGATAAAAGAACAAAAATTACTAACTAACAGTTTCTGCAGGATTACTTTCATTACCTGAGATTATTTTGTTATTTTGTCTATGGTTTGTAGCAGATGATATTTATGATCTCTTTTTTTTTATTTAAATTGTATTAGTGTCTTCTCTTTTTAAATATCTGAATAATTACATTTGGTGTAATGTTTAAGTTTATGAGCTGGCTTTTTGAACTTTGTTGTTGTATCTGAATTTGTTGAGCAAGATTTAGTATCTTCCTTTTTTGTTATATAATATTATATAACTTATAATATATGAATCTTTTGGCATTTTATGATGCATTATGTTTTTAAAATCCAGTGTCATTTTTTAATTAATAACACATTTAGGGATGTCCACCAATATCATAAAAACATGTATAGGCGTGGCTAAAAACCACTCTATTGTAATTTTTCTACTTTTCTAAAAGAATTGCAACAAGTCATTTGAAAGCTTTAAGTAAATCTATATTCTATTATTATAGCTTTTGCTTAAATAGCTGTAAATAATATTAACCCATTAAGAAATAATACATTTTATTAATTAATAAGGATAATAAAAAGTAAACAATAATACTTTAAATCTATCAATTAGTAAAAAAGAAAAAATATATAACTTACTAATACAAATAAAATGTAACAAAATCTAATATAAACTTACTTCTACCATCTTTTCCCTATTTTTACTTGGATTAAGTGGAGGTTCAGTTAACAATACCTTCAAAGATGAATTAAACAATATAATTACAAAACTTTTCAATATTTCATTGTACACTTTTTCAATATTTGTACATTGTACACTTTTTTCAATATTTTATTGTACATTGTAAATTTAACTATAAATGTGTGCATATTTTACATAAAAATATTTATTTTAATAAAATACTTTGCATTCACGAGGATTAACATTCAGTTTAGTTTCTCCAAAAGTATAATCCCAAACATGTAACATATCATCCCAGTTTCTAACCATTCCATTATCCATTGGATAACTGCATTCTAACATAGAGCGCAATTGACTAGCTTCATCTCCAACCATAAGATCCTAAAAAACAAACAAATTTTAAAATAAACTTTAAACACTAAATAGTTTCTTCTCTTTAAAACACCCAACACCTTTAAATTTTTAACACATAACAAGCAAAATTACATTTCATATATAATTCCAACAAACTTAGGGTTGGAGCCAGGTCTAAAACCTTCTCCCAGGCCATGGCTAAATAATCTTTAGCCATTAATTTATTTTTATATACATTTTTCCAATTATACTAATTCACTCCTGACTATTATACAAATTCACTCCTATATATTTATAAGAGACATAAATATTAATATTTTAATGAAGTTCAAAAGGCAATGGTAATTTAACCAATTAGGGAACATAATTTATAATTTAAATACATGTAGGATAGGGTGTTTCTTACTTTTGAAGATTCGATTTTTGCATGGGCCACCCTGCCATTTGGTTCATTATCATAAAAAAGTAATACCCTTTTTTTTTTTTTTAAGAATGATTTTCAGGGGTCGCTACCGACCCTGCAGTATTGTGCAAATGTACCCTAAAAATGCTTATGCTATGTATGATGTTATGCAACAAAAGTGGTTGGTGCTTAGCGTACAAACCTCTTTAACTAGTAATTTTTTGACTTTTAGTGTGCAGAATTGTGACTATAATGCTTAATTGTTCCTTTTGCAGGTTAAACTAGTGTAACTACTTTACAGTGATGGCTTCATCAACCAGTGCAATGATAGCTACCACAAAGAAAACTGAGATATGGCTTATTGGACAGATGTCCTGTTCTTTAGATGATGTTATTCTTCCATCAAAAAGGGAAGTGTTGGCCCTTTTCTTCCATTACAAGCAGATTGCCAAGCAAAGCATTAGGGAAGCATTACATTCCACAGCAAATGATGTTTTTGAAGTTTGGTCAAAGGCCCGAATACCTGTGCAATTAAAGAAGCACATTGTCCCTAAAATCGAAAACATTTACAAAGAATGGGAAAAGTTGAAAAAAAATAAAGAGAATAAAGCTAAGCGTTCAAATTATTTGAAATAAAAGGAAGACCAATGGAATGAAGGCTTAGAAGAACTATTCGATATTGCCCATGCCAACGCATTGGAAATAATCACCATTCAGGAGAATAAGGACTTCTTATGCCAAAGAGAGAAAATCTGGAGAGACAAAATGGGTCCAGTCGATAAGAAATTGAAAAGCAAGAAGAAGTATCAAGAAAAAAAAGAAATGAACCGAAAAAGGGACCGAGAGGAAAAGGCAAGAAAATCTCAAGAAGAAACAGTTGTTCTTTCACCATCATCTGAAAGTGAAGATAACCCTAAAGAAGATAGCACAACTCATGAAGATGTCTTGGCTGGTAACCAAGATGACCCTGAGAAATCAACATCAGGTACACGGGCTCCAAAGCGTCCTAGACGTGGTAGGAAAAATATACTGAAATAGAAGTTGGTGACTAATTTAGATGTGGCTAAATTGAGTGATCGTGGGGCGGCACTTATATTGACACCGGCATTACAACTTCTTGATCATGATCCAACAGAATACAATGTTAATCAGCTTCCATTCAAAGAAAACAAATAAAACACCGCAAGAAGATAGCAGAAAGTTTAAGGAAGGTATTCAAACCAGAAGTTTCTTTATGTATTTATTGGGGATGGAAAATTACTCGCTGACATCACCAGTAAAGAAACTGTTGACCGACTTCTAATTCTAGTATCTGGAGTAGGAGTGCAGCAGCTTCTTAATGTCCCAAAACTACCATCAGGAACAGGTGAAAATGTGGCATCTGCAGTGCATGACATGTCAGTGGCATGGGGAATTAATGATCAAGTAAAGTGCATGTGCTTTGATACTACTGCAGCCAATACTGAGCCAAGAAATGGGGCTTGCATTCTTCTAGAGCAGAAGTTTGGGAAAGATATGTTGTGATTGGCATGTCGTCACCACATTTTGGAAATTATTTTGGAAGCAGTAGTTTTGCTGTGTCTCGGCCCCTCAAGTGGACCTGACATACCACTCTTTAAAAGATTTCAGAAAAGTTGGGTCTCAATTGATTCCACAAAGTATCACACGCACAGTCTGATAAGAACGCTTACCGATCGGTAATATCTTACCAATATCACTGATGAAATAATCATCTTTTGCAAAGATCAACTACAAATCTTTCAACTTCGTGACAACTACCGAGAACTTTTGGAGTTGTCTATTGTTTTTTTTGGGAGGAGTACCTTTGAGGAGTATTTTATTTAGAGCTCCTGCCAGTCTACACCGTGCTCACTGGATTGCGAAAGCTATTTATGCGTTGAAGATTTGGATGTTTAGAGACCAATTCAGGTTGACAAAAAGAGAGGAGAAGGGAATAAGGAATATTTGCCTTTTCACGGTTCGACTGTACATTACAGCCTAGTACAGATCTCCTGAAGCAACCACAGCTCCTAGACTTGATCTGCAGCTCTTGAAAGACTTGGATGCTTACAAGAACCAGCATCCTGATGTCTTGAAAATCTGGTACCTATCAGAGGAACTTGTTGCTTTAGCTTTTTTTGATGATGAGGTTTGCCCTGAGACGAAGGTCAAGATGGTCCAAGCATTGAACAATGTTTTAGATCAGATACCTATGAAACAGGCTACTGTGGACTGCTCAGTTATCCAAGAAAAAAAACTGGAGGACTTTGTCACGTTTAACACACAAAGATTTTAAAGCATCACAAGACTTCCATACTAATAAACCTACAATCAAAGTAAAAAAGGATGTTCATTGCTGTCTTTTAATAAATAAGTAGAAATGCAATGACATAAAATGGATGTTTTTAATGCATGTAATAAGTAAATAAATGTGTACCAAGTAAATGAGTCACTATCACCAGTCTCCATCAGTTTTATGATTTTTTCCTATGTTAATGACTAAGAGGGCATGGTAAAATATGCCTTAAATTTCAATGACTGGTAGCGCCCAGTAAAAATGCTTTTTTCCCCTTTAAATTTTTACACATTTATTTTCTCACCAAAATGAGCCATTTTAGTGGGTGACCCACTGAAAAGCAAAAAAAAAATGTTTTAACCCCAAATAAGAAACACCCTAATGTAGGAGTCTAAATAAAGATGATATATGAAAAACATAAAAAAAATTGTATTTCATATTATGTTCAGTATAAAAGAAGCAAACATTGATATTTTGAAAGCTTGTTGCTCAGTTATAAATTTCATAGATGTGAACAAAATATAATAGCACAGTTATCAGTAAAAAAATCTAACTTTCTCATTTCCAAATTTTAGACAGGTGTATCTGTGTGTGGTGATAGTTAGGGGGTTATTTCAAATGCAGAGTATACAGAAATAGGTTATTCCACTGTTAAAATTTTTAAGTTCATTAGTATTTTCGATAAATAGTACATAAAAATAAATAGTTGGAGAAATTAATCATGTTAATCATGTCACAAATTAATCATGTTAAAAGTTTAACATATTTAAACACTAAAAGAATATAATAACAATAATAATAATAATAATAAAAATAATAGTAAAAGAAAGAGCATACTTTAATTTCAATGTCACCAACTTTAGCAGAAGAACGCAGCATAGGCCTTCCTACCATTGAAGGGAATATAAATGAAGGAAAATTTGTACCAGCATATCCACATTTTACAAACTAAAAACAATAAATCAACATAAATGCTTTTATAGTTAAAGTTCACTTTCAGAAATGCTTTTATTTACATTTTATGGCTCCATAATCTTGTCTTGTAAACTTAATTTTTTTTTTTTAATTTTATTTGAATTCTTCTCACAAATATCTATGCAAAGAAAAAGTACAAAGCAAAATGTATATATTGGCTGATTAAAATAAAGGAATAATTCAAATAAAATATTGTGTATGCAAACAGATTTTTTTAAAACATTACTATAAGTTACTAGATAATAAACATCCAATAAGCAAACACCACATTAAAATTGTTTTTTGGGTGTTAACACAGCTATCTATTTATAAACTAATTAAAAATATTTAAATTGATTTATCTATAGAAATATTTTAATCAATCAGTATAACAAAAAATAATTGGTAAATCAAAACATACAATATTTAGTTAAGTGGTGATGATTTTTAGAATTACTTTTTAAAATTTTCTCAGCACCATGAAAAAGTTTATATATTGAGTTTTTAAGATTATTATTTTAGCTTCACAGCTTCTTTGCAAAAAACAAGTATTGTAAACAATTATGTCAAAAAAGTCTTATACTTTTAAGTATAAGACTTTTGATTATTTTTGTCAAAAAGCTTTAACTTTTATTTTCACTTGTTAAAATTTTATGCTCTTATATAATATGTTAACACATATACAGGGTTCCCACTATTTAAAGTGAAACTAAAAGTAAAGGATTTTTAGGAGATTTACGGAGATATTTTCCTAATATTCAAGAAGATTTGGTCGCGAACAACAATTTTTTGAAAGAAAAAGTAAGGAGAATTAAAAAGAAAACAATTACATTAAAAACAGAATCTTATTTTTTTCAATAAATTCAAAATATAAACAGAAAAATTATAATGAATTAATATATTACTTTATATATATAAATATATATGTATATATGCATATATGTATATATATATATATATATATATATATATATATATATATATATATATATATATATATATATATACATACATACATACATATATATATATATATATATATATATATATATATATATATATATATATATATATATATATATATATATATATATACATACATACATACATACATACATATATATAATTGAAGTATAGATTTGTAACCTATCAAAGAATTATATATTTGGTTCTTTATTAATAAGTAAAATCCATTCACTTTAATAAAATTTCCTAGGTGATTATAAAATAAATAAGGAGAAATTAAGGAGAGCAGTCAAATTTAAATTTTTTTTAAGGTTATTTAAGGACTTTTAAGGTTGTTTTTTTAAGGATATTTAAGGTTTTTAAGGAGGAGTGGGAGCCCTGTATATATTATATGCTCATAGAAAAATTGATGATTATATTATCATTTAGTTTTTATAAACTTTTTTTTTTTGGATTTTTTTTTGAGATACAAAAATACATCAAATGATATTTATTACAAAAAGATAATTTACCTTACTGGAACACTAGATAGTGAAAAAAATATTCATTTTATTTAAATTTATACTAAGATACTTCTTGTAAATAGAAAAAGACTTACATCAATCAATAAACAAAAATATAAAGTTAAATTTAAAACAAATTGAAAATAAAGAATTTTTGTCTTTCTTTTTTATTTTTTACAACTATTTGTTACACAAAACTAAATTGAGCACTTATCTTAAATAAATAATATATTAAGTAAAAAAAAAAGGAAATAAAAGAAAGAAATTATTCAAGTTTGTCTGATACTTTTAAATGAAGAATTCAAGAAAGCACTTTTGCCTTATTTGCCAATTACTCATATGCCTTATGTGTTTGCCAATTACTTTTTTAAAATAGTTTTAGGCAAAAACCTTTTAAATTTAAAACACTTCTTCATTATTCATTATTTTTTAATGTCTCTTACAAAAATCTATATTAAAAAGTTAAAATTTCTAATTGAAATTTTTTTTTTTACATTTTAATACATGATACCTTTGTAGTAATTTATAAACCCAGGCTATTTAAAAAATTGCTTGAATTTCAGCAACAACATTTACAAAATTGTAAAATAATCTAAAGCATTTTTCATATTATTTTAAACTGATATTTTTACATGAGTCTTAATTATTTACTTAGATCTCATAAAAATGATTGTTTAAGTTATAATTAAGCATCAATGTGGTCAATACTTATAACATAGCACACATAGTTTACAACATGAAAAAGGTTAGCTGTCTTGTCAAAATTGTGCTGCTTACATATGTAGCCAGAAATCAGGAAAAATATTAAAAGCCTGTCGTTAAAAACGCACTTTCTCAAAGAGTGTTAAATTACAAGTGAAGGAATTGGAGTTTTAATATTTAGTTATTATTCTGATATTAATATAACTAAATTTTGAAAGCAGAGAGTTTAGCTTACGCAGCGTAATGTACATTTTCAGAATTGTAGATGAACATTTTACATGCAGCAATAGAATAAAAATTTCGTTAAGCATGTTGTTAATTCTATATCTTTAAATAGGTAAAGATATATTTACCCCAGTGCCATTGTCGCATACTAATATCTTCCTTCCCTGGTCATCCATCGTTTACAATTCCAATTAAATAACCAGGAAATTAGGTTTGCGCTTCAAGTCTTCAAATGGCAAGTTAAGGGAGTTTCAAAATGGTTTTCCATAAGTTAGAAACTGATCTCCTTGAAAATCGTATTTTTGATAACTATAGTTTTGAAACGCAGACAATTAGGAATAATATTGTTAATAAAAACATTGTGTTCTCCATCGTATTGTTAAATTTAATAAAGTCATGTAAAATTTATAGTTTAAATGTTTATCAAAATAAAAATTATGCTACTTCATAATGCTTACGACCACAGCGGAGAATGAAATATATTGTCATAATGATCTATCTGAAAAATGCTAACGTCAGCTGTATATATATAACATATATATATATAATATATATATATATATATATAATATATATATATATATATATATATATATATATATATATATATATATATATATATATATATATATATATATATATATATATATATATATATATATATATATATATATATATAACGTAGTAAAAACAGTACAGAAGTACGGAAAAAAAACACATCTAAACTATTTTCAGTATTTGTGTTAAAAAGGTATGCACCATAAAGTTGGATTTTAATTTGCAGTTTGGATTTTAATTTGCACTTGGATTTTAATTTTGCAGTATTCAACTTATTATTGAGATCTCTAACATAATCCTAATTAATGGCAAAAAGTTATGCTAATGTGGTGGCTCTAGAGGGCAACGGAGAACCTAGACGTGTCCAACCTTGGTATTTTTAAACCCACCACTCAAAATTCGTCAACTTCTGTTCTATTATGCCGTAATAACGACCTTAATTGTAGCGTGGAGGAGTTTTTAGAAATTCTCGCTGAAAAAAATCACTGGGGCGTTACAAGACATTATAATCATCGGTACTTTGAATTTGTTGTCAATAACGTTAATAAAGTATCCGAATTTCTCGAGACGGAAATTGTCATCAAAAACGTATTTCTTTCAATTACTCAAAAGTTTGTACGCAACATACATGTACTAGTACAAAATATTCCTATAAGTATCCTTTTGAGCGGAGGTTCAGCTGCCCTTACCACCTTAGGTAAACACCTTGCGGCAGGTAGAGGTACATTTGAGTCTTTTAGCTGTCAAAAGGTAAAGATACACGGAGAAGATATACTGACAGGAAACGTAATAATTGTAATTAAAACTGGCGAAACCCCCACATTACCCGTTGCCAAGATATCAAAATATTGATGGATTCACACTACGCTACACACATAATGGGCAACTTCAACATAGCCCAAAGCTTGTAAACTTAAGTGGTTCATCAAGTGCGGTATCTTCATCAAATGTCACTTCAGAAAACATACCAACAAATAATTCAGAAAGTTTCCCCAACACACAAACAGAAATTTCAGAATTCAAGGCAGTAACTGGCGAAAAAATTACAATTTAAAAAAATAATGAACGTAACATGAAAATTAAAATATCAAGACCAAAATCAAAACAGAAAAAAGTTCCAAATCAAAAAAAAGTAGCAATGAAATTTTTAGCGAAGAAAACAGAGTTTTAAACAAAGAAAAAGTAGTGGTTACCCATGAAAAAGAAAAGAATGACACAGATGTTTTAATCGACGACGAGCAAGATTTAAATTTAAATTTTGACGCCTATGATATCTTAAGTTGTGCGGAGAAGAAGTCGTAAGAATTTTCTTTTATATTTCGTTTTAAAATCTTTCCTACTTTTTTAACTTCATTTTTTCTTTCTGTTCTCAAATCTGTATAATTTTTCGATTCTTTTACGTTCTATTTTAAAATGCATGTTCTATTTTTAATTAAGCGCATAAGCTGTGGTAATCCGTATTGTTGTAGCTCGCGCCTTTGTGTAAAATGTTATGGTCCAGTCCATCTGTTAGTATTACATCATTTCAAACGAAAACTCGTGCTATAAGGTTAAGGTTTAAAAGTTTGTTCTTTATATATCAGGTTGTAAAATTATTACACTTATGTTTAAGGTATACGAGTTTTCAAATTAGGAAAGCTGATTCTCTCCAACATGGCTATTAATATTTTAACATGCAACATAAACGGTCTAAACGACCAAGCAAAACGCGACAATTTTTTTGGGTTTCTAAAAAAATCCTCCCTCGATCTCATCCTCCTACAGAAAACACACTCTGGACCTTTCACTGTTAAACATTGGGGAGACGAATGGACTGGCGAGTCCATTTGGAACTCCGGTCCAAGTCATAACTGTTGCGGGGTGGCGATTCTCTCTAAATCCAACATTTCCTTAAACGAACTAAAAAGGGTTAATAACGGTAGAATATTAAATGTCATGATAAAAATTGACGACCACGAAATGCAGGTACTGAATATTTACGCTCCAAATGTGTCGAGAGAAAGGCGCCAATTTTTTGGCGACTTTGGGGACTTCTCGCAGGACACAGGACTACCCGTCCTGCTGGCCGGAGATTTCAACATGGTCGAAAGCCTGCCTCTCGACACAGAAGGCACGAACAACGCTAAATATCACACTTATGGCATTGATGAACTCGGGGTCTTCCAAGGTAAGTATAACCTAGTTGATGTTTTTCGTTTTAAATACCCAAACAAAAGAGAATTCACGTGGCGAAATCAGAAGGTAAAATGTAGACTTGACCGAATCTACTGCCCTGATAAAGTCTCCAAAAAAACAACATATACTAAAATTCTCACCAATCCGTTTTCCGACCACGAGTTCGTGACAACAGCCGTCAATTTTAGTAAAACTAAGAGAGGACCAGGATACTGGAAATTAAATTGTTCCCTTTTGGAAATAGAGGTGCATAGGCAAAAAATTGAACTCTTAATTCAAGATTGGAAAGCAAAAAAACGGTCCTACAACTCAATTTTAAAATGGTGGGACGACTGCAAACTTTTTGTTAGGGTTGAATTACAACATATATCGATAAAGAAAAGTGCGAAAAACAAAGAACAAATGAAAAGGATTGAAAACGAAATCCAACGGGAGCGACAAAACGCTAACCCGAATTTAGATTGCATCAAAGAAAAACGCGATGCTCTTTTCTTGCTCCAGTTTCCAGGAGCGTTTATTCGCACGGAGCAAAAACTAATCGAAGAAGGAGAAAAACCTTCAAAATTTTTGTATAATTTGGAAAAAGTTCAACAGCGGAACAATTCAATTACCGAAATTCGCAAGAATGACGGCACATTGACGAGTGAACCTGGTGAAATACTTAACACTCTCGTTTCAAATTACAAAAACATTTACACCAAAACGAATTTATGCAAAGACAGCCAAAACTTGTTACACATCACTCAACATTTAAGTGATGATGAAAACCAAATTTTAAATACCCGCCTAACTGGCGCAGAACTAAAAGAAGACCTTTTTAAATTTGAAAACGGAAAATCTCCGGGCTATGACGGACTCCCAGCTGAATTTTACAAAACTTTTTGGCACATTTTAGAAAAAGATTTTGAAGAACTTGCATACGAAATACTTTTCGTAGAAAAAAATACCAGCCACTCTATGAAAAAATCAATAATTTCACTGATTCCCAAACAAGGAGATATTACCAAATGCAAAAATTGAAGGCCCATATCCTTAATCGGCGCTGATTACAAAACAATCACAAAAATGCTGGCCCTAAGACTTGCAAAAGTAATGGGGAAAATTATAGAACCAAATCAAACTAGCGGAATTCCAGATATTACAATTTTCTTAAATTTACATTTAATGCGTGATCTAATAGAATATGCGGAATTAAAAATCTACCTAGTTTCATTTTATCAATAGATCAAGAAAAGGCGTTTAACAAAGTCGATCGTGCGTTTCTGCAGCAGATTCTCCAGAAATTCAATCTCGGAGAAAATTTTATATCTTTTGTTCCGAAGTTTCGGCATCCGTTCTAAATTGCGGTTTCCTGTCAGCCTCTTTTCCTACCGAAAGGAGAGTTAGACAAGGCGACCCTCTCTCTCTTTTGTTGTATGTCTTTGTCTCTAAAGGTCTCGCTTTGGTGACCAGAGCAGACAGCAGAATTGAGGGATTCTCACTACCAGGAACACCAAAACCCCTTAAATTACAGCAGTACGCAGACGGTTCGAACTTTTTTGCCAGGGACGTAAAATCAGCCCGCTTTTTTTTCAAAACAGTAAAACTATTTGAAAAAACAAGTGGTTCAGTGATCAATGCCTCAAAAACCAAGGGTCTTAATCTTGGGGGTTTTGATCCTAAAATGTACCCAGAATTAAAAAACATAGAGTGGACCAATAACACCGGTTTAAAAATTTTGGGTGTTACCTTTTATACCAGACTGAGTAATACTACCGATTTCAACTGGCTAGTAACTCTAAACAAAATAGAGAAAAAACTCAAGTTTCTTGGACTACGTACCTTGTCACTTAGGGGAAAGACTATGTTGATAAATACGTTAGCAATGCCAAAAGTGTGGTTTCTGGCAAACGTGCTGCCCGTGCCCGAATGGGTCATAGAACGTGTGGCAAAAGACCAATTTCAATCCGGTCAAAAGAGAGAAACTGTTTTTACCCGTGAAAAACAGGGGTCTCGGAATTTTATCACCGAAGGAGCAAAGCCTTGCACTTCGCCTCAAAACACTCTTTCAATTGAAAGAATGTGGAGAGGATAACACTCACGATTAGTACTAATTTTCAAAGTACTGGTTAGCAAGTTTATTTTTAAAGTTTACTAACGAAAACCAAAGCTGGACTTTTTTGAAACAGAACAATTTTCCAAAACACTGGGACAACAAAATGTCTCAGTACTACAAAATAACAATTGAAATATTAGGCAAAACGGGTCCCTTTTTAACATCCCCCTAAAATCAACAAAAATTTTTTATTTAGAAGTGGCAAAAAACAAAAAGACAGTCGTGCCAGCAGAACTTTTCTGGAACGGTTCAACAAAAACAACAATGCCGTGGACCCAAATTTGGAAATGGAACTTTACCTCCCACGCATGCGGACCGACACAAAACATCCCCTTTCGATTTTTACACAACAGTCTACCTTCTACGGCCTTGCTAGCCAAAAGCACAAGGCAACAGATCGTTAAAAACAACAAATGCAAAACTTGTGGTAAAGTCGAGGACAATCTCCACATCTTTGCCTACTGTCCTCCCTCTATTGAAGTTTGGGAGTATTTTAAACATGTATATAACTCCTTGATATCCCAAATCAACTTTTCTCCGATAA